TGTTGTAGCTCTGTGTACTGCTGATAGTTCTTTTATCATTGTTGTAGTTCTGCGTACTGATGGTAGTTCTTTTATCATTGTTGTAGCTCTGTGTACTGCTGATAGTTCTTTTATCATTGTTGTAGTTCTGTGTACTGATGGTAGTTCTTTTATCATTGTTGTAGCTCTGTGTACTGCTGATAGTTCCTTTTATCATTATTGTAGTTCTGTGTACTGATAGTAGTTCTTTTATCATTGTTGTAGCTCTGTGTACTGCTGATAGTTCTTTTATCATTGTTGTAGCTCTGTGTACTGCTGATAGTTCTTTTATCATTGTTGCAGCTGTCTGTACTGATGGTAGTTCTTTTATCATTGTTGTAGCTCTGTGTACAGATGGTATTTCTTTAATCATTGTTGTAGCTCTGTGTACTTCTGGTATTTCTTTAATCATTGTTGTGACTCTACATCTGTCAGAAACCTGTATTTACCTTTTGTAATTCAGTGTGCAGCTATTGTAAAGTGTACAATGTACAGCTGTAAAACACCAATGTACAACTGTCATCCACATGTGAACTGCTATTGTAGATATATGTACACCTGTAAGACACCTATGTACAACCCAGCTGTCATCTACGTGTGTACAGCTGTTGTAGATCTATGTACAGCCGTAACGCACACATACAACTGTCATCTACCTGTGTACACTTGTTGTAGATCTATGTACAGCCGTAACACACACATACAACTGTCATCTACCTATGTACAGCTGTAAAACACCCATCTACAACTGTCATCTACCTGTGTACACTTGTTGTAGATCTATGTACAGCTGTAACGCACACATGCAAATGTCATCTACCTGTGTACAGCTGTTGTAGATCTATGTACAACCTTAATGCACACATACAACTGTCTCTACCTGTGTACAGCTGTTGTAGATCTGTGTACAACCGTAATGCACACATACAACTGTCATCTACCTGTGTACAGCTGTTGTAGATATGGGTGCAGCTGTAACACACACATGCAAATGTCATCTACGTGTGTACAGTTGTTGTAGATCTATGTACAACCGTAATGCACACATACAACTGTCATCTACCTGTGTACAGCTGTTGTAGATCTGTGTACAACCGTAATGCACACATACAACTGTCATCTACCTGTGTACAGCTGTTGTAGATCTATATACAGCTGTAAAACACCCATCTACAACTGTCATCTACCTATGTACAGCGTTGATCTATGTACAGCCGTAATGCACACATACAACTGTCATCTGCCTGTGTACAGCCGTAACGCACACATACAACTGTCATCTACTTGTGTACAGCTGTAGATCTATGTCAGCTGTGTACAGCTGTAATGCACTCATACAACTGTCATCTACTTGTGTGCAGGTTTTATAGGCCGGTGTACGCTGTTGTAAACTTGTGTGCAGGTTTTATAGGCCGGTGTACACTGTTGTAAACCTGTGTGCAGGTTTTATAGGCCGGTGTACACTGTTGTAAACTTGTGGTGCAGGTTTTATAGGCCGGTGTACACTGTTGTGTGTGCAGGTTTTATAGGCCGGTGTACGCTGTTGTAAACTTGTGTGCAGGTTTTATAGGCCGGTGTACACTGTTGTAAACCTGTGTACAGGTTTTATAGGCCGGTGTACACTGTTGTAAACTTGTGTGCAGGTTTTATAGGCCGGTGTACACTGTTTTAAACCTGTGTAAAGGTTTTATAGGCCAGTGCATGCTGTTGTAAACCTGTGTACAGGTTTTATAGGCTGGTGTATGTTGAAAATTTGTGTGCAGGTTTTATACTCTGTTTTAAACCTAGGTTCTGATATTGTGGTCTTTTATTTTTCTTATGCTATGTACAGCAGCTTTTGCCCTGTGTCTGTGTATTCCTGATTGGTGGACCGACACCTTGCGGACATTGTTTCTGACAATGCCGCACTTGTCTATTTTTTCTGTCCATTCTGTCTAAGCTCTTTTCAGCTTTCATTAAAATGGTCTCTCTCCTTTTCAAAGTTTCAAACCTTACTAGTGTAAACCTTGTCTCCCTTGCACACAGCTTGTTTTTAAAATCTATCATTTGCATGAACTGCTGCATGGGAGGTGTTGTTGAAACAACTGACAAGTGTAGACCTGCATATATCTGTTGTAGACCTGTTGTACAGCCGTTGTCGTTGAGACAACTTACAACCATGGCTTGTTTGGCTGTTGTTGAAGATAGCACAAATATCAGTGTGGAAGATAACACATCACTGACATTTTGTTTACACAATGAAAACCTTCCTGGACACCAGTTCCAAGAGACAGACAAATCAAAACTTTGTGTTTAAACAAGAAAAATGTGGGTTCAGTATGGACTAGTGGCATCCTTGCTGGGACCATAATTCTTTTTTTCCCCCATGTAACCTGGTGTTCTTAAGCATGTTGATGTTTTGAGGTTTCACTATATTATTCTGCTTCTTTCTCCTCCTACTCCTCTTCTCTGTGCAGGTTCAGATGTAAACCTGAATTTATTTACAGAAAATAGCAGTCAGTCTGAGCTTGGCTTTTTCAGAGGGTTCGTCACAAAGTCTGATCTCCACCAAATTAGTGTGCCTGCTTTGTTAATGTTAGACAATCTTGCAGCAGATGCTAAGGTCTGAGAGCTTTAGGATACCATCTATGAGTTCTGCTGTGATGGTTCTGTTGTAGCCCTTGCATCTGTCTTCTCCAGATAGGTCTCTGCATTGGCATTAGTCTTGTAATTGTCCGTGCGTCTCAGCCATGTAGTCTGTCTGTTCTAACTCATTGGCTGGAAGGTTTGCAAACACTTTTCCTGAGATAGTTTATGGCAGGAAAAATTACTGTAACCTCAGCTGCTGTTTGTCTACATTTAGGACTCGCTGTTTGTCCACATCCAACATTTACTGTTTGTCCACATCCAACAATTGCTGTTTGTCCACTTCCAGCACTTACTGTTTGTCCACATCCAGCACTTACTGTTTGTCCACATCCAACACTTGCTGTTTGTCCACATCCAGCACTTGCTGTTTGTCCACATCCGGCACTTGCTGTTTGTCCACATCCAGCACGTACTGTTTGTCCACATCCAACACTTGTTGTTTACTAGTAGCTGACTTTTGACTTTGCTTGTTTGTTGACCATTCATTCATGTTGTATGCTGATTATTTCAGCTCTTGTTTTAACACTTTGTGGATATGTTTGCATTGTTAACACTTTACAGTCACTGGTCCTCCGTGTCTGACTGGGAAGGGAGGTCTCAACATGAACATCTATCTCTCAGCACTCACTCCCACCTGTGCAAGACTGAAAACCTGCCTACCAGCAGCTGAAAGGAGATCTGTGTCACTTACCTGCCACTCATAGATTCAGAGTGGATGCTCTTGTTGTTTGTTATCTATGGTCATGAACATATCACATAGATCATTTCTCCTTGTGTATTCAAATGTCCTCCCATCCATGTGTATTCACCAGATCAGTGACCTATCACCGCGACCCTCGTTTCTTGTTATCCCCAGCTCATATATCAGCACCCCCTCATGCTAGTGTAAGTTGAGTCCTGCTGTTTCTAGTTTGAAGCTGTCTGTGATGGCATAGTTGATAGCACACTTGCCAATTGGCTTTACGTTGAGCTCAGGGCAGAACCATTTTGTGGCTGCATGGCTGCTAAAGGAATGAAATGATATGACAGAATCACTAATGGCTACTTGCATAGAAACACTTATCCAATTCCAGCCAATCAACAGATGAACAATCTCCTGTGTGGGTTTGCTAAATGAAAGGCTGGCGAGGAATTGTGATGTCATAATGACTTTTGTTATTACTTGCAGCTACTTGTGTGTGTATGTGTGTGCATTACTTTCACAGTGAAGATCCTTCAGGTGCTGTCTTTTAGCACATGTATTCATATCCAACTCCTCTTGTCACATGACCAGTTGTCAAGTCACCTTACTGATATATGTGCTCTGTCAGCCACTACCCAGTGAAGAAATGCCAAAGTGTCAGCAGCTACTTGACATATTGTGTGACTGCATGTCTCTAATGCTTCCATGGGGAGCCACCGTGGTGTAGTCCCTAGGTGCTTGCCTGCTCATTGGAAGGTTGTGGGTTTGTGTCCTGACCTTTGCTCCCAGGTCGACCCAGCCTTAAATGGGTCCCAGGTACAGTCCTGGGAAGTAAAGGCCGCTAGCATGATGCTGACATCACCTACAGAGTGTTGATTGGTTTATAAAATATGTCCAGCACAATATGCTCTATACAGTTGAAGGTGTGGACAAGGGGGATTGGCTTGTGCTAATGCTTCCATCATGTTTAAGGGGGATTGGCTTGTGCTAATGCTTCCATCATGTTGATCAGTTTATCTGACAGTCATACAGTATCACTGACCAGATGAACAAGTATGTGGATTATTTTACATGGATGTATTCTTGGATGTCAGAATTGATTGTTTTCATGTGAATGATTTCATTGCTGTGACACTTGTCATGTTGTTAAATAAGGGCATCCCTGTGTTGTCCAGGTGGCAAAATTTGAGCTGAGATAAATACGTGGATGGTTTGGATGAGGCAGGACAAGAGCATTGACATGATCATGTAAGATGTTGAACTGTGACCACCTAGATTTATCGCAAGGGTACATCCGGATGTTTGACAGCTTTCTCATCAGAGATTAAACTGTCTGAGACTCGGAAAGTTAACCCAGACAATCAACTCCTGAGATAGTCCCATGTGTCAGAGATTCCACTATCTGGGACTTGGAAGCTTAACCCAGACAAATCAATTCCTGAGTCAATCCCATGTGTCAGCTACATGATGCAAATTTCACAGCTGTGCTGTAAACAGACACAACACACTTATGCCCTAAACGACAGTAAACAGTATCAGATGAACAAAGAACGACTGTCTTGTGACTGAGAAATGTGTTTTTTACTATGCTATTTTTATGTACTTCTGTTTATCTTTCTTGATTTTTTTCTTTCTCTTCTTCTAAAGGACTAGTGGGTTGGTGAGGAGAACAATGGCCCCAAGAAATGCAGGAGAGGTCAATAACTATGAGGGCGATCGACTGGGCCTGGACCAGGTGGAGACCATGATTAATGACACCCCATCGCAGAAACGTCCACCCATGAAAATTGTCTGGCGTAACGTGGTGTTGTTTGTTTTGTTGCACACCGGGGCTCTCTACTCTGTGATTCTCATCCCTAGAGCAGCGTGGGCGACACTAGTGTGGAGTAAGTCACCACCCACATATTTTACTGTTGTTTTTATAGAATTATTGTGTTTTCTTTGTAGCCAAGATTCTTGGGAAATATAACACCTTATATGTAACAGATGAGGTCAAAAGATGTCCATTCTTAGACTGTTTTCCTGGCTGAGAATAAGCTTCTTGGTTGTTGTCCGCTTCTGGATTTTGGTCTTGCAACAGAATGTGATTATTGTGTGCCCATTTGCTTTACAAATCTGGCTTGTTTGTGTGCCGGCTGTTGGTTGCTTGCCTCTCAGGCAGATGCACTCCTACTTTGAATGCCACACACCTGTAGTCATGCTTGTTAGGGGACAGTGGGGCCATTCTTGTTCCTCCCTGGAATCCTCACAGGATGGAACCTACACGGGATGGAACCCACACAGGATGGAACCCACACTGGAAGAGAATCAGCAACAGTGATTTACTGAATGTTGGTGTCTCCCTTGTGAGACCACCTAACCCAGTGGCTGTCAGCTGATCTCCTTCATGTGCTAGGATAGAAAACACCAGCTTCTGAATCCAACCAGTAGCACCAGATCTTAATAAAAGGCATGTGAAATTCATTGGCCAACCGAGATGACAGGAAGCTGCTCTACTAGAAGAATTATCATGCTGAGAATGCTGCAACGAGTTGGGTCATCTGTTTCATCTCCCTTTACCTGGGAAGATCTCCAGAGACAAAGCAGGAACAGACGTGCTGCCCATTTAGAGTAAAGTATAGCTGGCTACAAAGGTCATGTGGAAACACAAACGTGGGCTAAGAAAAGAAACATTCACCAGTCTTTGTGGAGTGGGTCAAAACATTGCCGGAAGATGTATTTTTAACAGGAGTGGACACAGTAACATGGATGTGACAACAGCACCACACAGACAATAGAACTTTGGATGTGACAACAGCACAACACAGACAGTAGAACTCTGGATGTGACAACAGCACAACAGACAATGTAACTCTGGATGTGACAACAGCACCACACAGACAATGTAACTGGATGTGACAACAGCACAACACAGACAGTAGAACTCTGGATGTGACAGCAGCACATCACAGACAGTAGAACTCTGGATATGACAGCAGCACCACACAGACAGTGGAACTCTGGTTGTGACAGCATCACAACACAGACAGTGGAACTCTGGTTGTGACAGCATCACAACACAGACAGTAGAACTCTGGATGTGATAACAGCACAACACAGACAGTGGAACTGTGGATGTGACAACCATCATGCCTCCTGCCTGTACTGCCCAGGACATGTTTGTGTAGACCAGTCTACCCTTGATTGATGATGCTATCCCCATCAAGCTTGCTGCCTTTACTACTGACACGGGGCTTCATGGTGTCCAGTTATGGCGTCTGCCGCGACTGCTAGAGGTCTTGATGAAAGCTGATATTTTTTCGCGTGGACTTCAGTAATTTTCCCTGATCTCTAGTTAGTAAGGTCGGTTGTTGCACACAGAAAAAAATCCCTTGCAGTTGGAAATTGAAAATAGTAGTCTAACACCGCTGCCTGGAAAAAATTTGGAGTTAAAAATCTACCCAAAGTGTTTCAGTATCCTCTCCAGTGCTACAGAGTTCCTGCACTGCGCTGAGCTTCTTCAGACTCAGTCTTGAACTGGAACTAGAACAGAGCACTAATGGGTTACTACCCTTGTGCTGTGATGTTAATCCGTTGTTGAAACCTAAACTACCCAGGACATCATCTACCCCTTTTAGACTGGGAAACCATGGTCAATTTTGAGTTTAATATGTTGGTGCAGTTTAATATGTTGGTGCAGTTTAATATGTTGGTGCAGTTTAATATGTTGGTGCAGTTTAATATGTTGGTGCAGTTTAATATGTTGGTGCAGTTTAATATGTTGGTGCAGTTTAATATGTTGGTGCAGTTTAATATGTTGGTGCAGTTTAATATGTTGGTGCAGTTTAATATGTTGGTGCAGTTTAATATGTTGGTGCAGTTTAATATGTTGGTGCAGTTTAATATGTTGGTGCAGTTTAATATGTTGGTGCAGTTTAATATGTTGGTGCAGTTTAATATGTTGGTGCAGTTTAATATGTTGGTGCAGTTTAATATGTTGGTGCAGTTTAATATGTTGGTGCAGTTTAATATGTTGGTGCAGTTTAATATGTTGGTGCAGTTTAATATGTTGGTGCAGTTTAATATGTTGGTGCAGTTTAATATGTTGGTGCAGTTTAATATGTTGGTGCAGTTTAATATGTTGGTGCAGTTTAATATGTTGGTGCATTTGTGAACCCTATACTTCGGGTGGTCAGCATGCAAGTGACTGGTCACTGTAATTGATATCTGCTGGCTGGACATCCACATCACCACCTTCTTGCCCCTGTCCTGCTTGAGCAGAGACCCCCCACCGACTCCATTCATACCATTTGATTTGATGATTGAATTTTTTTTAAACATGGTTATTTGTGAACTATTATTTTAACAGCAGTAATAATGCACATACTTTGATTACAATATAGATACTGATGGGGAACAGATAAAGATACCTGAATAGGATAAAAGTTTATAAATGGTTTAACATAATTCTTGGAGACTCAAGGTGAGGACAGAATTACACTTTACAGAATTCACTGTGAAAAAAATGTGATAATAAAAAACAGTCCTTCTTCTGCAAACAGCCTTGTGTTTTTCTTCAGGCATTGATGCCAAATCATAACAGAGGTGAGACATCTCAGAAGATGACAGAGTAACAAGAAGAAAACAAATTTACAGTTAAAAAAGAATTTGAACAAAAATAGGACCGAAGCTACTCATACACTTCATTAAAGAGCAACAGCTGAGATTGTTTAGCCATCTTTGTTAGAAAGAGCACACAGAACATCTGTGCATCTTCCATCAACATCTCAGTGGGGTAACTGGAAGAGAATATCATGTATAGACAATGGGGGGGGGGTGTTAAGGTATGGACAGTTATTTGGACTGGGGGGGGGGGTGGTGGTAAGGCGTAAACAGTTATTTGGACATGTGGGTATTGAGGCATTGATAGTTATTGCGAAGTGGAGATAAAGAGTTATTGAGACACAGAGATGGGTGTTGGTATTTGCTCCAGTTGGCACCTCTTGTATATCCTACCAGGCATGTTTATGTACTGGCTAGCTGCCATGGGTATCACTGCCGGAGCTCACCGCCTCTGGTCACACAGATCCTACAAGGCACGGCCTCCACTTCGAGCTTTCTTAGCATTTTGTAATTGTATATCTTTTCAGGTAAGTCAAGTTTTGTTGTTAGTAAGTTGTGATTGTATGTCTTCCTGTGTGAGTCAGGTTCATCTTAGTAAGTTGTGATTGTATGTCTTCCTGTGTGAGTCAGGTTCATCTTCTAGATGTTAGGCAGGTCCCTAAATTGATAAATGTTCTAATTCACAGTACAAGAGTTCCATGTCTGGGTTCGGAGGCTCCATTTTTGAATACAAAGAATAGGCCTACTCACCTGGTTTTATCCTGCATGGCTCGGCTGCCTCTCCATAATGGCTGTCTAGTCACCTGCTGTGGGTATTGCACAAAATACAATTACTGTAGCTCCAGCATCTGTCCCCAGGGATCTTTATTAACAGTTGTTTTGTGAACCCACAGTCATTAAATGGCCCCTAGCATCAGAGGATGAGGCATGACCACTTGGATGGGCAACACACTGTGGATTAGTGCACAGGGTAGTGACCTAGTCTGTTATTTGTCTTGACTGTTCCACAACTCTGATGTGTGTCTTCACTGTTCCACAGCTCTAATGTGTGTCTTCACTGTTCCACAGCGCTGATGTGTGTCTTCAGTGTTCCACAGCTCTGATATTTGTCTTCACTGTCCAACAGCTCTGATGTGTGTCTTTACTGTTACACAGCTCTGATGTGTGTCTTCACTGTTCCACACCTCTGATGTGTGTCTTCACTGTTCCACAGCTCTGATGTGTGTCTTCACTGTTCCACAGCTCTGATGTGTGTCTTCACTGTTCCACAACTCTGTGTGTCTTCACTGTTCCACAACTCTGATGTGTGTCTTCACTGTTCCACAGCTCTGATGTGTGTCTTCACTGTTCCACAGCTCTGATGTGTGTCTTCACTGTTCCACAGCTCTGATATATGTCTTCACTGTTCCAGAACTCTGTGTTTGAGTGGTCCCGAGACCACAGGGCCCACCACAAGTACTCAGAGACTGATGCTGACCCCCACAATGCCAAGAGAGGCTTCTTCTTTGCTCACATCGGCTGGCTACTGGTGAAGAAACATCCGGATGTCAAAGACAAAGGCAAATCTCTGGACTTGTCAGACCTCACAAATGACCCTATAGTTGTGTTCCAAGATAGGTATGTATGTCTTTAACCCTACATAATCACTACAGATAGATATACTTGGGACACTTATATTGATGAAGATGATCATTCAATGAACAACAGATATGTATCTCCCTCCTGTTGTTTATGCCACTTTGGCTTTGTGCGCCAAACTAAAACATGGAAGTACATTGTATTCTTGACTGTTAAAAGTGTTAGAAAAGTTTTAGAGTAGTATTGTTATGAACACCAGAAACACAAACTACTAGAATAGTTTTAGAATGTCATTGTTGTGAACATCAGAAACACAAACTACTAGAATAGTTTTAGAGTCTCATTGTTATGAATATCAGAAACACAAACTGCTAGAATAGTTTTAGAATTTCATTGTTGTGAACATTAGAAACACAAACTACTAGAATTGTTTTAGAATTTCTTTGTTCTGAACATTAGAAACACAAACTTCTAGAATAGTTTTAGAATTTCATTGTTGTGAACATTAGAAACACAAACTACTAGAATAGTTTTAGAATTTCTTTGTTGTGAACATCAGAAACACAAACTACTAAATGGTTTTAGAGTCTAATTGTTGTGAACATCAGAAACACAAACTAAGCCAATGTGGTCTGCAGATGTAACAGGGCGCAGGTGCACTGCCAGGCAGACAAGTCCGGCCAGAAACAAGGAACTTATTTCCTGATGAAATTGAGCAGATTGAAAAGAAAGAATTGATGAAGGACATAGCAGATGAAGAACTTGACAATAGAAATGTGTTAAGCAGCTCTGTCTCTGCCCCTCCATTGTGCTGACATTAACTGTTGCTCTCTGTCTCATTGCCACAGACATTATCTCAAGTTGGTGCTTCTCTGTTGTATCATCATGCCCACAGTAGTGCCAGTCTATGCCTGGGGGGAGAGCTGTTTTGTGGCGTTCTACATCGCTGTCATCCTGCGCTACACCCTGGTGCTCAACGCCACCTGGCTGGTCAACAGTGCTGCTCACATGTGGGGCTCCCGGCCCTACGATGAACGCATCAATCCTGCAGAGAACTACGGCGTTGCCCTCTGCGCCACTGGGGAAGGCTTCCACAACTACCATCACGTGTTCCCCCACGACTACGCCACCAGTGAATATGGCTGGCACTTCAACCTGACCACACTGTTTATCGACACCATGCACTTTCTAGGACAAGCTTACGACAGGCGCAAAATTCCCATGGATGTTATACTCAAGCGGAAAATGCGGACAGGGGACGGCTCCAGGCGTTAGTGGGAATATTGTTAGGAACTTTAAGGATGTTTGCATGATCTGCACTTGCCACAACATCCACCAGTTTCTGTTAACTCGAGTGGGTGCTCGGTTTGTTTCTCGCGTGCACATGTTGTGAGGGCACTTTTGTTTTCCCCTCCTGATTAGGCTTTGTGTTGTTGTTTTTTTCAACAATTGTTCCATCGTTTTTCTCCTGCACTTGGTTGTAAAAGTCTGGCTATAATGTATGTTATTTTGTATTGAGACAAGTTATGTTTTTACATTTGTTTGATTGAGGATTCGTTACAAGTAAGAATCTGATGGTTAAAGTCACAGCGTTTATTATTACCCTTGAAGTTAATGTCACAGAGATTTATTGCTGTCTTTGATAGTGGTAGCCCACCTGTCCTCAAGTGATCAAATAGATTGTATGTGTGTTTGCAAGCTTACTTGTCTTTAGGTGAAGTGCTATGTGGAAAAAGACCTCACCTCTCTCTACTATTTGAGGCGAAAGACCTTACCTCTTTGTAACTTGTAGAGAAAGACCTTACCTTTCTCTGTTACTTGTGCAGAAAAACCTCTGTTCCATGTGGAGAAAGACCTATGACTCTTATGTTCTTGTGGAGAAAGACCTGTGACTCTATGTTCTTGTGGAGAAAAACCTGGGACTCTATGTTCCATGTGGAGAAAGACCTGTGACTGTTCCATGTGGAAAAAGACCTCACCTCTGTCTGTTCTATGCACAGCATCTCATTTCTGTGTGTTTTTGTTTTGCTAGTCCAGTGCAATTTTGGACTGTAGCTGCTGTGTGTGTATAACCATATCCCAGGATGCTGTAAAAACATGATCTTGATTGTTAGATATTTAAGATTGTCATGTGTTTGTTGAGAAGGGGTGTCAGTCCCACAGAATCAGCTGCTCCAGTACTGCTGTGTATGTGTGTGTAGTTCTTGCAGATGTTTGTTGATTTTTGTGCCTGTTATCTTTACATCTGTACCTGAGACACTGAACTTGTTCAAGTCACAGAATGTCTACACGAGACAGCAACCAGTAGGTCTACAAGGTCACTTGTCATCTCAGGAATACATGTTTCATTTTGTTTACATTTTTACAGTTAGACCATTTTGGGAACATTCGACTCAGTTTGGTTAACCAAGTTTGTATATTTGTCTGTTAATTTCTTCCAGTATTTTGATTGTCCAGTCATGCTAGAGCATATTCCATCTCACAATGTAACAACACTGCCAAGGTTTGCTATTAGGTTGTATATGAACAGTGAGAGCTGCACAGTTCACTGTTGTTCAGGGACAGTTGCAAGATTCATTATTAGCGTAAAGGGACAGTGAGAGTTGCAAGATTCACTGTCAGTTTGTGTAGGGACAGTGAGAGTTGCAAGATTCACTGTTAGGTTGTATAGGGACAGTGAGAGTTGCAAGATTCACTGTTAGGTTGTATAGGGACAGTGAGAGTTGCAAGATTCACTGTCAGTTTGTATAGGGACAGTGAGAGTTGTAAGATTCATTATTAGTTTGTATAGGGACAGTGAGAGTTGTAAGATTCATTATTAGTTTGTATAGGGACAGTGAGAGTTGTAAGATTCATTATTAGTTTGTATAGGGACAGTGAGAGTTGTAAGATTCATTATTAGTTTGTATAGGGACAGTGAGAGCTGCAAGGTTCATTATTAGTTTGTATAGGGACAGTGAGAGTTGTAAGGTCCACTGTTGTAAGGGACAATGAGAGCTGCAAGGTTCACTCTTGTTGAAGTCCATTGTGCACAAATGATCTTGTGTGTGCACTCAATTGTACCAGTGTGTCTGCTTGTATCACTCATGTCTTGACTTCTCAGAATTAAAGACAGTAAACAAATCTAAATAAAACATTTTAAACAGTAAATATTTTCTCTTATTAACGTGTCATGTGTATTTATTGACATCATTTCAGTTCTGAACTAACATCACAACACCCAGGACATCTCCAGTTGTCAATTCCGGGGAACATTCTGCTTGTTCCTCCACTTCTAGACTTGTTTGTTCGAGCACTCAAGTTTTGAATGTACATTTGTTTATGGCTAGTGTGCAGACCCTTGGTCCCTCACATCTCGGGCAGAGATGCATTCCAACTTCAAAAGAAATACCCCCTAATTAGTTGCCTTCTATGACATGCTTGTTAAGAGACAGTGGTATGTTCTTTACTCTCCACCCCCAATATAGGGGCCCTAGACCCCAGATAGAGAAGAGTTCCATTGCTGATGATGATGCTAGCAGTTTGATGTTGGTCTCCAGTGCAGACTGTTGGTCAGATCTGGTCTCTCCCTGCTGCACACCATTTTCTCCATATTGACCTTATTTGTGCTTCGGTATGGTACACTCACTCCCACCCAAATGGTCTTGATTACATTTAGCTTGTACTGTCTTGTCTATGTACATGATTTCAGCTGTTTGTATGTTCATATGTCCAGTTTTATCTGCTACTTCCACACGTGCACTTGTAGAATGTGCAACCTCCACACGTGCACTTGTAGAATGTGCAACCTCCACATGAGCACTTGTAGAATGTGCCACACATGCACTTGTAGAATGGTGTGACTTGAGTTTTTGCTTCTGACAATAACAACACGAGTCAACATACAAGTAGCGCAACATAAATATTGTGAAAACAGAGAAAAGATGGCAAATATGCAGGCTCTGTGTATTTTTAAACAAGATTACCTGAGAAATAGGCAAACTTTATTCGCATAACAATGAGTAGGAACAGAATTTCTACTTTTATTGATTTCCACAGCAGGCAGCAAAATAGTCCATCCTGACTTGCATCTTTCTAGTCTGTATTCTGAAACTAGCTGCCTAAATAAGTGATACATGCTCATCCACTGGATTTCTAGCTGCCTAAATAAGTGATACAGGCCCATCTGCTGGATTCCTATCTGCCTAAATAAGTGAGACAGGCCCATCCGCTGGATTCCTAGCTGCCTAAATAAGTGAGACAGGCCCATCTGCTGGATTCCTATTTGCCTAAGTGAGTGAGACAGGCCCATCCGCTGGATTCCTAGCTGCTTAAATAAGTGATACAGGCCCATCCGCTGGATTCCTAGCTGCCTAAATAAGTGATACAGGCCCATCTGCTGGATTCCTATTTGCCTAAATAAGTGATACAGGCCCATCCGCTGGATTCCTAGCTGCCTAAATAAGTGATACAGGCCCATCTGCTGGATTCCTAGCTGCCTAAATAAGTGATACAGGCCCATCCGCTGGATTCCTAGCTGCCTAAATAAGTGATACAGGCACATCTGCTGGATTCCTATTTGCCTAAATAAGTGATACAGGCCCATCCGCTGGATTCCTAGCTGCCTAAATAAGTGATACAGGCCCATCTGCTGGATTCCTAGCTGCCTAAGTAAGTGATACAGGCCCATCCGCTGGATTCCAAGTTGCCTAAGTGTGTGTGTTAAGCTAGTATTGCTTCTTGGTCACTAACTGGCTAGACCAAATCAATGAAGAATGTGACCTTATTTACAGTCACACATATGTGGTGTCTTCTTGCATACAGTTAAATATATATAATCCGTTGTTTTGTATAAGAAAGTTAACAAGTGGACAGAGAGATGCCCTGCACTGAAACTTTCAGTGTGGGTAATCAGCAGCGACACCCAGTGTGCACACGCCCATTCTTCACATCTAGTGTGCACACGCTCACTCTTCACACCCAGCATGCACCCACTCCTCGTACCAAGTGTGCACACAAACTTCATACCCAGCATGCACCAGTATGTGAACTGGCTGATATGTCAAAATCCATGGCAGCTCTCACTTTTGCAGTCAGCCAGCAGACAGTTGATCCAGCGTTTGATTCCGTCGGATGGCAGGATAAACCCAGGCTGACCGTGTCACTCTGTGACCTGTAGGATCACCAGCAGACTTTCACTGCCTCCAGCGGCCAACAGCCGTCCCTGGTTGGTGCTGTCCACTGAGTGGACAGGGTGTTCCATCCGGTAGCCTCCTACATGCTGTGTGGACACAAGTCAGAACACTCCATCAGCTGGTGGCAATAATGAGGTAGACACTGATGATAATAATCGTGTTCTTGTTCGCATTCACCAGCCATTCACTGTGGCTCAAAGTTCTGGTTATATTTGCACGTCTTGTTCCAGAATCTGTTTGTGTGTGCACGTGGCTTCTGCATTTAGTTACGTATCTGTTTTATTTGTATGCAGACTGTTGGTTCCTCGCCTCCCAGGTTGATGCGCTCTGACTTTGAAGGAAAATGCTCCTAATAAGTTGACTCTTACGATATGCTGGTAAGGTGGCAGTGGGTCTATTCTTGTCACCCACAATGAGGAGTGGAAAGGTGAGGTGAATGAGATGAAGACACTGATGATGCTAACTGCTGACTTGACTGTTGGTTACAGCCTACAACAAGTCACTGACGTGAATGACAAGATATGCCCAAATGTTGTGTGAATAGTAGCAATCTGTAGGAATGTACCAACTTGTGCAGCCCTGACAAGGACACCCTGGCACAAGGTGACAGACCAACTAACACAAACTGCTGGCTGTCAGCAGTCACACTTCAGCTGCCTGACCTCCCTGGACATTCCTCATATTTTGCTGACTCTTTCAGTGATTGGTTACCAATGGAGATTGGTTTATCATTTGTTTTATTGACTCTGTGTTTTTCCCTTTGACCTATATAGATGTAATAGCTGTAGTCTGTCACCTCTCTATCTTTCCCTTTGACCTATATAGATGTAATAGTTGTAGTCTGTCACCTCTCTATCTTTCCCTTTGACCTATATAGATATAATAGCTGTAGTCTGTCACCTCTGTGTCTTTCCCTTTGACCTATATAGATGTAATAGCTGTAGTCTGTCACCTCTGTGTCTTTCCCTTTGACCTATATAGATGTAATTTTTTTTTTTTTTTTTTTTTACGTATCCAGAAACCATGAGTTGTAAACCCTTTGGCTCGGTACTATGGATATCGCAACCCTTCGGCATTGATTCCATTATAGGTACCGTTAATCTGGGAGAAATGTGGCTTTTCTGCCTACCCCCGGGAGTGAACCCGGACCACAAGGAGTTCGTCACCCGGCCGCCGCGAAAGTCAGGTTTAACCAACTTCGCTAGAGAGCCGGGCATATAGATGTAATAGCTGTAGTCTGTCACCTCTCTATCTTTCCCTTTGACCTATATTGATGTAATAGCTGTAGTCTGTCACCTCTCTGTCTTTCCCTTTGACCTATATAGATGTAATAGCTGTAGTCTGTCACCTCTGTGTCTTTCCCTTTGACCTAAATAGATGTAATAGCTGTAGTCTGTCACCTCTCTATCTTTCCCTTTGACCTATATAGATGTAATAGTTGTGGTCGGTCACCTCTGTCTTTCCCTTTGACCTATATAGATGTAATAGCTGTAGTCTGTCACCTCTCTATCTTTCCCTTTGCCCTATATAGATGTAATAGCTGTAGTCTGTCACCTCTCTGTCTTTCCCTTTGACCTATATAGATGTAATAGCTGTAGTCTGTCACCTCTGTGTCTTTCCCTTTGACCTAAATAGATGTAATAGCTGTAGTCTGTCACCTCTGTGTCTTTCCCTTTGACCTAAATAGATGTAATAGCTGTAGTCTGTCACCTCTGTGTCTTTCCCTTTGACCTATATAGATGTAATAGCTGTAGTCTGTCACCTCTCTGTCTTTCCCTTTGACCTAAATAGATGTAATAGCTGTAGTCTGTCACCTCTCTATCTTTCCCTTTGACCTATATAGATATAATAGTTGTAGTCTGTCACCTCTCTATCTTTCCCTTTGACCTATATAGATATAATAGCTGTAGTCTGTCACCTCTGTGTCTTTCCCTTTGACCTAAATAGATGTAATAGCTGTAGTCTGTCACCTCTCTATCTTTCCCTTTGACCTATATAGATGTAATAGTTGTAGTCTGTCACCTCTGTGTCTTTCCCTTTGACCTATATAGATGTAGTAGTTGTAGTCTGTCACCTCTGTGTCTTTCCCTTTGACCTATATAGATGTAATAACTGTAGTCTGTCACCTCTGTGTCTTTCCCTTTGACCTAAATAGATGTAATAGCTGTAGTCTGTCACCTCTCTATCTTTCCCTTTGACCTATATAGATATAATAGTTGTCTGTCACCTCTGTGTCTTTTCCTTTGACCTATATAGATGTAATAGCTGTAGTCTGTCACCTCTGTCTTTCCCTTTGACCTATATAGATGTAATAGCTGTAGTCTGTCATCTCTCTGTCTTTCCCTTTGACCTATATAGATATAATAGCTGTAGTCTGTCACCTCTGTCTTTCCCTTTGACCTATATAGATGTAATAGCTGTAGTCTGTCATCTCTCTGTCTTTCCCTTTGACCTATATAGATGTAATAGCTGTAGTCTGTCACCTCTCTGTCTTTCCCTTTGACCTATATAGATATAATAGCTGTAGTCTGTCACCTCTGTCTTTCCCTTTGACCTATATAGATGTAATAGCTGTAGTCTGTCACCTCTCTATCTTTCCCTTTGACCTATATAGATGTAATAGCTGTAGTCTGTCATCTCTCTGTCTTTCCCTTTGACCTATATAGATGTAATAGCTGTAGTCTGTCACCTCTCTGTCTTTCCATTTGACCTATATAGATATAATAGCTGTAGTCTGTCACCTCTGTCTTTCCCTTTGACCTATATAGATGTAATAGCTGTAGTCTGTCACCTCTCTATCTTTCCCTTTGACCTATATAGATGTAATAGTTGTAGTCTGTCATCTCTCTGTCTTTCCCTTTGACATATATAGATGTAATAGTTGTAGTCGTCTGTCACCTCTTAGTCTTTGCAGATGATAGCTGACACTGTGTTGGACCCAGCCACAGGAATTGTAGCCCAGGCTAGATTTGTCTTAGCATTATGGGTCCCGAGGGACACCAGTGTGCTGGGTCCCTACCACAGCCACTCACTCATCCATCCTAACCACCCCCCCCCCCCCCCCATCTTGTAACCATGCTATCCTAGGATCTTTATTTCATCCTGTGTCCTTCCCCCACCCCCGTAACCATGCTATCCTAGGATTGTTATTCCATCCTGTGTCCTTACTCCCCCCCTCCTTGTACCGCTTGTAACCATGCTCTCCTAGGATGTGTATTCCATCCTGTGCCCTTACTCCCCCCTCCTTGTAACCATGCTATCCTAGGATCTTTATTTCATCCTGTGTCCTTACTCCCCTCCTCCTTGTAACCATGCTCTCCTAGGATCTTTATTCCATCCTGTGCCCTTACTCCCCCTTCCTTGTAACCATGCTATCCTAGGATCTTTATTCCATCCTGTGTCCTTACTCCCCCCCCCCCTTGTAACCATGCTATCCTAGGATCTTTATTTCATCCTGTGTCCTTACTCCCCCCTCCTTGTAACCATGCTATCCTAGGATCTTTATTCCATCCTGTGTCCTTACTCCCCCCTTCTTGTAACCATGCTCTCCTAGGATGCATATTCCATCCTGTGTCCTTACTCCCCTCCTCCTTGTAACCATGCTCTCCTAGGATCTTTATTCCATCCTGTGCCCTTACTCCCCCCTCCTTGTAACCATGCTATCCTAGGATCTTTATTCCATCCTGTGTCCTTACTCCCCCCCTCCTTGTAACCATGCTATCCTAGGATCTTTATTTCATCCTGTGTCCTTACTCCCCCCTCCTTGTAACCATGCTCTCCGAGGATGTGTATTCCATCCTGTGTCCTTACTCCCCCCTCCTTGTAACCATGCTATCCTTGGATCTTTATTTAATCTTAACCAGTGGTCTCCAACCTGTGATAGAGTGGCGGATCAAATAGCTTTCAAGTGGACCTCGAACAATTTGGAAACAGTGCATTTATTTGAATCTGTGATAATCTGTTTTTTTTTTTTAATTTAATTTTTAAATTAAATTAAATCTTTTTTCAAAACTATTTATAAAACAAAAAGCCAAGGACATCTTTTGTGTTTATAAGCAATTTGTGTATCTACAGTCAGAAATCTAACTAATATAGTAAGGCATTTATAGATAAAAAGACATTCTGACCAAAATGTATCTCCATACTGTCTGTTTCTCTTGTTGCAGCATCGACTGCTGTCCTCTTTTTAATTAATCACATTTTGTTATGGCTGGGGGGTGGGATGCCAGGATCTTGCCATATACTCCAGGGGGTGCGGAATCTTGTCAAATACTCAAGTTTTGTTTTAAGCACAAGTTGCTATTGTTTCTGCCAAACTCGTTTTATTAATCTGCTCCTTGTTACTGTTCCTATTATCATTATCATGCTGTGCCATTAACATGTCACAGACCTTGACCCTATTCCATTCTGTGCAATGTTTTTAATTTTAGGGATGGAATGCAGTCTAGCATCTTTGTCCTCTTTCATCAATGTTTGTTAAAGGGTTTCTTTTGGGCGTCCTAATTACCTTAGTCCACTTGTTCCTATTCCGTTACCTGCTTGGTAATTTTTCTATCCTTTCTCCTCAGGATTGGTCCAGGATATCGAAATCTTCTTTGCTTTTTATAACTGGCAACCAGTAGTTGCTCAGACATTTGGTTTATTTCCCTACCTTTTTCCAGCTGCAGCTGAAATCGCTCCATCTGCCTTGTTCTTGTACACTGTTATACTGCACGCTGGTATGTATCAACTTTAGAAATAGGTTGACCTTTAAATCATCATCGTTTGCTGCATTCGTGAGACCACCAGTCTCATATGTCTGAACACTTTAAAACTTTGTCCATACTTTCAAATCACATATATATATATATATGTCCAGCTGAAATGCTTAGGTAGGGAAAGGCTTGAATAATGAACACCAAGCAAAAACAGAGGACTATGTGTCTCTGTCAGCTGATACAATTCACACAGGCATCCATGTAGCAAGCTTCTACCCAGGATCCCAAAGGATGGGACACGTTCTCATTGTTCAAAAACGTCTCTCCAACTCTTCCAGGTATACCACCCTAGCTACAAGGACATGGGTCAGTTTCTTGTATGGCCACAGTCTACTGACGTCTCATTTAGTCACCTTCTTCTTTGCTTCTGTCTGACAACATACCAGGAGCCTGCAGACTTGATGACAGCTAGCATGCAGTCAGTATCTCTCTCTACACCTTGTTCGAGTGTATATGACACAGGACTGTTGTCTGATAAACCTTGACAAGACCATCTTCATATGACATAGGACTGTTAAGTCGTAAACATCAACAGGACAGTCTGCACACAACGTAAAAGGAATAGAAAACTTAATCATGTCTGTACAAAAACCGAGCGAAGATCAAAATCTGTTCTTGAATTTAAAGAGAATGAAAATAATGTCCACAGACAAAACTGTCCGTAACCCAAAAATTAAAAAAATTATAAACACACTGAAAATGCCAAGCTTTAAATAGCTAGACTGTTAAACAGCAATTAAAAGGAGGATGGCCATAGCAAGATTCAACAGCAATTAAAAGGAGGATGGCCATAGCAAGATTAAACAGCAATTAAAAGGAGGATGGCCATAGCAAGATTCAACAGCAATTAAAAGGAGGATGGCCATAGCAAGATTCAACAGCAATTAAAAGGAGGATGGCCATAGCAAGATTCAACAGCACTGAAAATCTATGTTTAAGAACCAGCAAGGAAATCGAAATTACAATTTTGAGAGCATGCATCTTCCCTGTAGCAACATACAGATGTGTTGTGGACTATCATGCATCTTCCCTGTAGCAACATACAGATGTGTTGTGGACTATCATGCATCTTCCCTGTAGCAACATACAGATGTGTCGTGGACTATCTTGCATCTTCCCTGTAGCAACATACAGATGTGTCATGGACTATCATACATCTTCCCTGTAGCAACATACAGATGTGTCATGGACTATCATACATCTTCCCTGTAGCAACATACAGATGTGTCGTGGACTATCTTGCATCTTCCCTGTAGCAACATACAGATGTGTCATGGACTATCATACATCTTCCCTGTAGCAACATACAGATGTGTCATGGACTATCATACATCTTCCCTGTAGCAACATACAGATGTGTCATGGACTATCATACATCTTCCCTGTAGCAACATACAGATGTGTCGTGAACTATCTTGCATCTTCCCTGCAGCAATATACAGATGTGTCATGGACTATCATGCATCTTTCCTGTAGCAACACACAGATGTGTCGTGGACTATATTGCATCTTCCCTGTAGCAACATACAGATGTGTTGTGAACTATCTTGCATCTTCCCTGTAGCAACATACAGATGTGTCGTGAACTATCTTGCATCTTCCCTGTAGCAACATACAGATGTGTCATGGACTATCATACATCTTCCCTGTAGCAACATACAGATGTGTCATGGACTATCATACATCTTCCCTGTAGCAACATACAGATGTGTCGTGAACTATCTTGCATCTTCCCTGCAGCAATATACAGATGTGTCATGGACTATCATGCATCTTTCCTGTAGCAACACACAGATGTGTCGTGGACTATATTGCATCTTCCCTGTAGCAACATACAGATGTGTTGTGAACTATCTTGCATCTTCCCTGTAGCAACATACAGATGTGTCGTGAACTATCTTGCATCTTCCCTGTAGCAACATACAGATGTGTCATGGACTATCTTGCATCTTCCCTGTAGCAACATACAGATGTGTCGTGAACTATCTTGCATCTTCCCTGTAGCAACATACAGATGTGTTGTGAACTATCTTGCATCTTCCCTGTAGCAACATACAGATGTGTCGTGAACTATCTTGCATCTTCCCTGCAGCAATATACAGATGTGTCATGGACTATCATGCATCTTTCCTGTAGCAACACACAGATGTGTCGTGGACTATATTGCATCTTCCCTGTAGCAACATACAGATGTGTTGTGAACTATCTTGCATCTTCCCTGTAGCAACATACAGATGTGTCGTGAACTATCTTGCATCTTCCCTGCAGCAATATACAGATGTGTCATGGACTATCATGCATCTTTCCTGTAGCAACACACAGATGTGTCGTGGACTATATTGCATCTTCCCTGTAGCAACATACAGATGTGTCGTGAACTATCTTGCATCTTCCCTGCAGCAATATACAGATGTGTCATGGACTATCATGCATCTTTCCTGTAGCAACACACAGATGTGTCGTGGACTATATTGCATCTTCCCTGTAGCAACATACAGATGTGTTGTGGACTATCTTGCATCTTCCCTGTAGCAACATACAGATGTGTCGTGGACTATCTTGCATCTTTCCTGTAGCAACATACAGATGTGTTGTGGACTATCATGCATCTTCCGTGAAGCAACATACAGATGGGTCGTGGACTATCATGCATCTTCCGTGAAGCAACATACAGATGGGTCGTGGACTATCATGCATCTTCCCTGTAGCAACATACAGATGTGTCGTGGACTATCTTGCATCTTCCCTGTAGCAACATACAGATGTGTCGTGGACTATCATGCATCTTCCGTGAAGCAACATACAGATGGATCGTGGACTACATCTTCCGTAAAGCAACATACAGATGGGTCGTGGACTATCATGCATCTTCCGTGAACCAACATACAGATGGGTCGTGGACTATCATGCATCTTCCCTGTAGCAACATACAGATGTGTCGCGGACTATCTTGCATCTTTCCTGTAGCAACATACAGATGTGTCATGGACTATCTTGCATCTTCCCTGTAGCAACATACAGATGTGTCATGGACTATCTTGCATCTTCCCTGTAGCAACATACAGATGTGTCATGGACTATCTTGCATCTTTCCTGTAGCAACATACAGATGTGTCATGGACTATCTTGCATCTTCCCTGTAGCAACATACAAATGTGTCATGGACTATCTTGCATCTTCCCTGTAGCAACATACAGATGTGTCATGGACTATCTTGCATCTTCCCTGTAGCAACATACAGATGTGTCATGGACTATCATTTATCTTCCCTGTAGCAACATACAGATGTGTCATGGACTATCATACATCTTCCCTGTAGCAACATACAGATGTGTTGTGGACTATCATGCATCTTTCCTGTAGCAACATACAGATGTGTCGTGGACTATCTTGAATCTTTCCTGTAGCAACATACAGATGTGTCATGGACTATCATTCATCTTCCCTGTAGCAACATACAGATGTGTCATGGACTATCTTGCATCTTCCCTGTAGCAACATACAGATGTGTCATGGACTATCTTGCATCTTCCCTGTAGCAACATACAGATGGGTTGTGGACTATCATGCATCTTCCCTGTAGCAACATACAGATGTGTCATGGACTATCATGCATCTTCCCTGTAGCAACATACAGATGTGTCGTGGACTAACATGCATCTTCCCTGTAGCAACATACAGATGGGTCGTGGACTATCTTGCATCTTCCCTGTAGCAACATACAGATGTGTTGTGGACTATCTTGCATCTTTCCTGTAGCAACATACAGATGGGTCATGGACTATCATGCATCTTCCCTGTAGCAACATACAGATGTGTCATGGACTATCTTGCATCTTCCCTGTAGCAACATACAGATGTGTCATGGACTATCTTGCATCTTCCCTGTAGCAACATACAGATGTGTCATGGACTATCTTGCATCTTCCCTGTAGCAACATACAGATGTGTCATGGACCATCTTGCATCTTCCCTGTAGCAACATACAGATGTGTCATGGACTATCTTGCATCTTCCCTGTAGCAACATACAGATGTGTCATGGACCATCTTGCATCTTCCCTGTAGCAACATACAGATGTGTCATGGACTATCTTGCATCTTCCCTGTAGCAACATAAAGATGTGTCATGGACTATCTTGCATCTTCCCTGTAGCATTATACAGATGGGTCGTGGACTATCTTGCATCTTCCCTGTAGCAACATACAGATGTGTTGTGGACTATCTTGCATCTTCCCTGTAGCAACATACAGATGTGTCGTGGACTATCATGCATCTTCCCTGTAGCAACATACAGATGTGTTGTGGACTATCATGCATCTTCTGTGAAGCAACATACAGATGTGTCGTGGACTACCTCCTAGTCTTTTAGAAAGAGCTGAAATGCTAAATAAAGGTTCTGAGAATACTATGGACAAAGAAGAGAAGAATAACTGACACTGTAAAAGATGTGAACATCAAGGAAGACTGGCTAATTAATAGTATTTTGTCTATGAAGCCGAACGATTTTTCTCATATCAAGCGCCGTGGCAAACTGAAAAAAATAACGCAGAAGGTATGATACCAGGAAGGAGGAGCAGGAGCTGACCAACATGAAGATGGGCACATGATTTAAGTGATTCCATAAATATGAAAGTAGACGAGAAGGGAGAGCTGGCGATAGACCGAGTTTTTTTCAGACAGACCGTAAAGAGAGTGACGTTCTGTAAAGGACCTGCTATATGAGTGGTAGAAAAGATGATACTATCAAATAAGAGTGGAAGAAGAGGGGATAATACTACAGTGTGAGAGAGGAAGAAATGGATGTGTCACTAAAATGAGAGAACGACAGAAGTGAAAGCAACACTACAAAGTGAGAGCGGAAGAAGAGGAAGTGGTATTTACATGTAAGAGTGGTAGAACAGGAAGAGACAACACACAAAAAAGAAACTAACCCTGTTGGTAGAGATCTCAATCACTTCAACACTGTTAGTGCCACTGCCGCCGGCCACCACCAGGTTACTGTTGCAGTACTGGGCTGTGTAAATGAAGGCGCCTTCTGTGTGCGGGAACATGATCTCTCTGGTGACAGCCCCTGTGTTGTAGTTGTGTTCCTGGAGAGCATGCAAGGCCGTCCACTGGCCTGACAGGATCTCTGTCTCCTGCACAAGCAAGACATGACTGCATCAAGTGCACACATCAGGTCACCACCAGGTTACTAGTCAAACATCATTAACAATGATATTCCAACTGTTTAGGTTCTGTTTCCTGTTAACTGGTTTGTTTGTGTGTTTTGAGTGTGCTTGTCTGATCACTCATCTCCCATGTTTACATCCAGAGGCAGACAGATGACAAACTGCATGCAATGAAACAACTGATTCTTCTCCTTCAAAAGAGTGTAGCTGGCATGTTGTGATGTGGTTTACAGCTTGGATGTTTTCGGCCCAACACATCCAGTTTCAGCAAAACCTTGGTTGGTTGCCTTTTACAACATGTTTCACAGGCACTGGGTCTAACCCCTGCCCCCAAAATGGGCTCAGAAATCCATATGGGGAAATGAGACAACAATGTGCATACAGAAGGAACACAACATACAAGGATGGAGCAAGCTAACATCCATACACTTCACTGTTAAAAGGGGGGGGGGAGTGATTGTGATTGTCTCTCACGAGCTGCGAGCATGCTTCTGTTAAGCAACGACAAGAAAATAATGAAAACAATAATGCTATCTGGTGACATTTGAAAGGGTAATGATGATGTTCTGATTTCTGTTACAGACGCTGGTTCAGCAGGGTAATGATCAATGACAAACAAGACAAATACACTAGTCAGACTCAATGTTCCTCTTACCCGTAAATCAATAGAATCCCCACAGATATGAGGCCCTCGAATGTTTCTCTTAATGCCCTCACTGTCTCGACTATCCCAGATCTGAAACAGGAAAACACACACTTGACATGTTTCTGCTTATCTGTTTTATGTTGTAGCCTATTCCTTCTCAGGGTTTCTGCATCTATTCAACTTCTGTGTACACAAGAATGGTTTTGACTGACAGCAGTTTATACAATACACTGTAGCTCCAGTCCTGTGTTTATCATGTTTATCTGCCAATGTTTATCAGACTCAACAGTCCTGTGTCATAGGTAGATGATCCTGTCAAGATTTATCCGACTCAACAGTCCTGTGTCATAGGTAGATGACCTGCCAAGGTTTATCAGACTCAACAGTCCTGTATTGTAGGTAGATGTTTCTGTCGAGGTTTATTAGACTCAACAGTCCTGTGTCATAGGTAGATGACCTGCCAAGATTTATCCGACTCAACAGTCCTGTGTCATAGGTAGATGGTCCTGTCAAGATTTATCCGACTCAACAGTCCTGTGTCATAGGTAGATGATCCTGTCAAGGTTTATCAGACTCAACAGTCCTGTGTCATAGGTAGATGGTCTTGTCAAGATTTATCTGACTCAACAGTCCTGTGTCATAGGCAGATGCCCTGTCAAGATTTATCAGACTCAACAGTCCTGTGTCATAGGTAGATGATCCTGTCAAGGTTTATCAGACTCAACAGTCCTGTGTCATAGGTAGATGATCCTGTCAAGGTTTATCAGACTCAACAGTCCTGTGTTATAGGTAGATGATCCTGTCAAGGTTTATCAGACTCAACAGTCCTGTGTCATAGGTAGATGGTCTTGTCAAGATTTATCCGACTCAACAGTCCTGTGTCATAGGCAGATGCCCTGTCAAGATTTATCAGACTCAACAGTCCTGTGTCATAGGTAGATGATCCTGTCAAGGTTTATCAGACTCAACAGTCCTGTGTCATAGGTAGATGATCCTGTCAAGGTTTATCAGACTCAACAGTCCTGTATTGTAGGTAGATGTTTCTGTCGAGGTTTATTAGACTCAAAACTCCAGTCTATAATTGTGGAGTTGATGCAGCCTCATTAAATTGGTGCCTAATAATTACTGGGGAAGAAAAAGCAGTGAGGAATACAAAAGGCTTCATTATCTCATACTCCAACAGCAGCCTCTTCCATGGCATCAATGTTGTCATTAAAATGTAAGAAGAAAAACAGAGACTGGATTGATTTATATCTGACACTGAATTCCTCCATCTCATAGTCCAAGTCCTTATAATAAAGTCAAACTGTTGAAGACAACCAACAATTGTGGCTAAATCCCAGCCAATGTGTCCATTGTTGAATCCTCCCACACAGGAAGAGGGGGACGGTCAGCTCTACAATGCAGTCCCGGTGGAGACGAGACTTGAGTAGCAGTTAGGCAGACAGGTCTCCATACTAAGCTGACTCTAGAAGATGCGAGCACCAACACACTGGACTTTTATCATGGAAACTCAATTCACCGAACCTGTGACTCATCTGCCTGGATGTCTGCTATTCTACGCAAGAAGAAGAACTGACTGATCATGTAGTCAACCTTCAATAAGCAACGGAGGAAGACAATAAGAACAGATTCTGTCACCATAGTATTGGGGAAGGGGGGATCATATATAAAACTGATACACAAGGTTGAAGATCACAAGATCTGGAAAAAACACATGAAGCTTGATGACGAGGATAATGATGATGAGTTGACCTTTAAATGGTTGTCCCAGCCGCCAGTGACAAAGATAAACTGGTTGATGGGGTGGAACTTGACGCAGAAGACCCTCATTGTGTTGCCGATTGCAGTATCACTGGTGAGGAGAGTTCGCGAACTTGACCCTGGCCACAGTTTGATCATCTGAAATACTCGAAAATCAGAATGACTGATGACATGACAGAGTAATACTGATGATATAACATAGTCACATCAATGAGCTCCTCCAAGACATAAACACATGGATTTCTCCTGTGTTCTACAGAACAGCTGTGTTAGATAGTGTTGTATTCTCTGATTTGATAAGACAGCATATCACTTTAAAGTTCAGACTTTCACCATAGCACTCCAAACAATTTCAAAAGTGCAACAGTCTCTCCTGCAGTCAATCAATCCTCATACGGAGACCGAATGACTGCAAGTTCAATGTTAACAAACACATCTTTCCAATTGTTTTGTGTGCAGCACTTTCCTGCACCCACCAATCTTCAACTGAACACTCAGACTTCACAATATCAGTTCATTCTGCTGACTGTTCCCGTCTGAGATGGGCACTCTGATGGTCTTCAGACACTCTAAAAGTTTTCATGATGGTTTTCAGACACTTAGGGTTTTCATGATGGTTTTCAGACACTCTAAGGGTTTTCATGATGGTTTTCAGACATTCTAAGGGTTTTCATTATGGTTTTAGACACTCTAAGGGTATCTATGATGGTCTTCGCTCTAAAGGTTTTCATGATGGTTTTCAGACACTCTAAGGGTATCTATCTATGATGGTCTTCACTCTAAGGGTTTTCATGATGGTTTTCAGACACTAAGGGTATCCATGATTGTCTTCAGACACTCTAATGGTTTTCATGATGGTTTTCAGACACTCTAAGGTTATCCATGATGGTTTTTAGACACTCTAAGGGTATTCATGATGGTCTTCAGACACTCTAAGGGTATCCATGATGGTCTTTAGACACTCTAAGGGTTTTCATGATGGTTTTCAGACACTCTAAGGGTTTTTATGATGGTTTTCAGACACTCTAAGGGTATCCATGATGGTCTTCAGACACTCTAAGCATACCCATGATGGTTTTTAGGCGCTCTAAGGGTATCCATGATGGTCTTCAGACACTCTATCAATGATGGTCTTCAGACACTGTAAGGGTATCCATGATGGTCTTCAGACACTCTAAGGGTTTTCATGATGGTCTTCAGACACTCAAAGGATTTTCATAATGGTTTTCAGACACTAAGGGTTTTCATGATGGTTTTCAGACACTCTAAGGGTATCTTTGATGGTCTTTAGACACTCTAAGGGTTTTCATGAAGGTTTTTAGACACTCTACAGGTTTTTATGATGGTTTTTAGACACTCTAAGGGTATCCGTGATGGTCTTCAGAAACTCTAAGGGTTTTCATGAAGGTTTTCAGACACTCTAAGTGTTTTTATAATGGTTTTCAGACACTCTAAGGGTATCCATAATGGTCTTCAGACACTCTAAGGGTCTTCATGATGGTTTTCAGACACTCTAAGAGTTTCCATGATGGTCTTCAGACACTCTAAGCATACCCATGATGGATTTTTAGGCACTCTAAGGGTATCCATGATGGTCTTCAGACACTCTAAGGGTATCCATGATGGTCTTCAGACACTCTATCAATGATGGTCTTCACTCTAAGGGTATCCATGATGGTCTTCAGACACTCTAAGGGTACCCATCATGGTTTTTAGGCACTCTAAAGGTATTCAGGATGGTTTTTAGACACTCTAAGGGTATCCATGATGGTATTCAGACACTCTAAGGGTTTTCATAATGGTTTTCAGACACTCTAAGGGTATCCATGATGGTCTTCAGACACTCTAAAGGTATCCATGATGGTCTTTAGACACTCTAAGGGTATCCATGATGGTCTTCAGACACTCTAAGGGTATCCATGATGGTCTTCAGACACTCTAAGAGTGTCCATGATGGTCTTCATCCTCTCATGCAGTGCACAGCCAGCATATCCAGACTTTCACTGCCCACAGAAACCTGCAAGGACAACTGATCATGAATGAGACTTGATGTTTGTGGAAATGACTGCTGATCATGAATGAGACTTGATGTTTGTGGAAATGACTGCTGATCATGAATGAGAGTTGATGTTTGTGGAAATGACTGCTGATCATGAATGAGAGTTGATGTTTGTGGAAATGACTGCTGATCATGAATGAGAGTTGATGTTTGTGGAAATGACTGCTGATCATGAATGAGACTTGATGTTTGTGGAAATGACTGCTGATCATGAATGAGACTTGATGTTTGTGGAAATGACTGCTGATCATGAATGAGACTTGATGTTTGTGGAAATGACTGCTGATCATGAATGAGACTTGATGTTTGTGGAAATGACTGCTGATCATGAATGAGGCTGGACGTTTGTGGCAGTGACTGCTGATAAATTCATTCCCTGATGAGATCCCATGTTATTGTTAAAACTGTTGTAAGCAATCATCTTCACACTCAGTAAATAAAGATATACTCAAATAATAAGACAAATGCTGATACGTGTACACATACTTATTTCAATTAATGAAAAGTGAAATAAGCAGACAGACACACTGGTATGTGTTAGTTAGTTAGTCTTTCCTCTTGTGTCGAGTGCGGCACATAGGGCAGAGGTCGTGACTCTCCATGCACGGCGGTCCGTTGCAATCCGTTGTAGGTCTTGGATGTTTGAGTGGCCCATGAGCGAGCCTTCCCTGATGATAGTTCTACGTAGGGTTTCCCTTGGTCTTCCACGAGATCTTTTCCCCTGTGGTGTCCAAATGAGGGCTTGGTAAGGAAGTCTTGATTTATCCATTCTAAGGACGTGGCCGACATAGTTCCAGTGGCGTTTTCGTATAAAATTAGACACATACTCTTGCCTGGATTCTTGCCTTATTTGTGTATTGGTTCGGAAATCTGACCATTTGAAATTTAGTATTCTTCTAAGGCATTTATTTTCAAAACTGTCTAATTTTGTGTCTAGAGTTTTCGTTGATTTCCAACTCTCGCATCCATAGGTTAGTACTGGAATCACACAAGAATTGAAGATCTTGAGTTTTGTGTGTTTGCTAAGTGTCTTTGATTTCCAGATGTTGGACAGTTTATTGGTATGTGTACACAGACTTATTTCAACTAACAGCACAGTGAAGCAAATAGAAAACACTTGCATACGTACACAGACTGATTCAAATATTCAGAACGATACTGATGTGTATGTATACCGCAGACTGAATCAACAAGGTCAGGAAAGAGGCAACTACCGAAACAAACACCTCACCATGTTGGTCTTGGTGTCATACAGGCGGACTCCCAAGTCCTTGCCCCCTGTTACAAAGTTGTACCCATCCACAGAAAAGTCCAATGCATTGATTTCATTTCCAAGCTCTAGAAGGAACCAGGAGAAAATGTGCACAGGTTATACTGCATGTTTTCTTCGGGCATTACAGTTTATTGTATCTTTCTACTAATGAACATATACAAACAATCTTTACCTGCCTCCACTCATCTCTGTGACTGCTGCAGATATCACCTGCCTCCACTCATCTCTGTGACTGCTGCAGATATCTCCCGCCTCCACTCATCTCTGTGACTGCTGCAGATATCACCCGCATCCACTCATCTCTGTGACTGCTGCAGATATCACCTGACTCCACTCATCTCTGTGACTGCTGCAGATATCACCCCCCTCCACTCATCTCTGTGACTGCTGCAGATATCACCTGCCTCCACTCATCTCTGTGACTGCTGCAGATATCACCCACCTCCACTCATCTCTGTGACTGCTGCAGATATCACCCGCCTCCACTCATCTCTGTGACTGCTGCAGATATCACCCGCCTCCACTCATCTCTGTGACTGCTGCAGATATCACCTGCCTCCACTCATCTCTGTGACTGCTGCAGATACCACCTGCCTCCACTCATCTCTGTGACTACTGCAGATATCACCTGCCTCCACTCATCTCTGTGACTGCTGCAGATATCACCTGCCTCCACTTATCTCTGTGACTGCTGCAGATATCACCTGCCTCCACTCATCTCTGTGACTGCTGCAGATATCACCTGCCTCCACTCATCTCTGTGACTGCTGCAGATATCACTTGCCTCCACTCATCTCTGTGACTGCTGCAGATATCACCTGCCTCAACTCATCTGTGACTGCTGCAGATATCACCTGCCTCAACTCATCTCTGTGACTGCTGCAGATATCACTTGCCTCCACTCATCTCTGTGACTGCTGCAGATATCACCTGCCTCAACTCATCTGTGACTGCTGCAGATATCACCTGCCTCAACTCATCTCTGTGACTGCTGCAGATATCACCCGCCTCCACTCATCTCTGTGACTGCTGCAGATATCTCCCGCCTCCACTCATCTCTGTGACTGCTGCAGATATCACCCGCATCCACTCATCTCTGTGACTGCTGCAGATATCACCTGACTCCACTCATCTCTGTGACTGCTGCAGATATCACCCCCCCTCCACTCATCTCTGTGACTGCTGCAGATATCACCTGCCTCCACTCATCTCTGTGACTGCTGCAGATATCACCCACCTCCACTCATCTCTGTGACTGCTGCAGATATCACCCGCCTCCACTCATCTCTGTGACTGCTGCAGATATCACCTGCCTCCACTCATCTGTTACTGCTGCAGATATCACCCGCCTCCACTCATCTCTGTGACTGCTGCAGATATCACCCCCCCTCCACTCATCTCTGTGACTGCTGCAGATATCACCTGCCTCCACTCATCTCTGTGACTGCTGCAGATATCACCCGCCTCCACTCATCTCTGTGACTGCTGCAGATATCACCTGCCTCCACTCATCTGTTACTGCTGCAGATATCACCCGCCTCCACTCATCTCTGTGACTGGCCCTCTCTTTCCACTTGGTGCCTCGCAGTGTTTGCAAGTCTGCTTGGATATTACCTTCCACGTCAAAGCCATCGCTAACCACACAGCCAGCTGCGTCTCTTCTGTAGATGTGAATCATAGACTATTTTGTTATCACTAAAAAAATTCAGTACTTTTGAATTGAATTTTTATAGGAAGATTTGTGTCAGCAACATACAGCAACAAGAGACAGAATATATTCTTCAGGAGCTGAAGATGGAAGCAGACAGGCTCAGAGACAGTTGTATTTCTCTGAAATACTCAGGGTCATATGAAAGGCTATAACGGTTTAGATAGAACAGTAATGGGGGTGATGATTACTGGACATGCTGCTGGTACAAGAGAGACAGGCAGACGAGAACCTATGAAAGCCGTCACAGACACCAAGGACAACCTGCTGGCCTGGAAAATACTGGGTCTGGTCGGTGATGACCAAGTTCTTCTTCTTCTTCTTGTTCACCGGCTGTGAATTCCGGCGGTAAGTCGCGGTTGTTCGTCCAAAATGGACTTTTGGCTTTTACCTTGACCCGAGTTTTGCGTGTACATCCGTTTTACTGGCTCATTTGTTTGCAGTACTCGTTCCCCGCCTCTCCGGCAGATGTACTCCGACTTCGGAGGAAGACGTCAAGCCTATTTCTAGGTTGACTGTGGCCATTGTTTTGTGTGGGTCGAGATGTTGCCTCATTTGTGTGGTGTCCTCTTTGACTTTTAACAGGTGTGGCCCCCGGCATGTCGTCCTTAAGGCAGCTCTATGTAGAGTTTTCAGCCCTAAAGGGAAGGCAGGGGCAGATCATAGGCATTCCCCGCCATCCAAGGAGGCTTCCATAAATGCAGAGCTGACACATGATGCTCTGGTTCTGGGCTCACCCAAGGAATCGTCACGTCCTGCCCATGACTGCTTAACCTCACAACCGTGTATTGAACTTCCCGCGCTACAAGGCTGCGCTCTCCGGAGATCAGCGGGGAGTAGCCCGCAGGTCTAGGACGTTTGTGGCCACACAAATAGGTACATTCTTTTTCATCTTACGTTAGACACCTTTAACGTTGTTTCAGCTGTGCCCTTAGCACGACAGAATGGGGAAGCAAAATGCGTCAGGCGTGGCTTCACCTGTTTGGTCCAAACACTCGGGCGAGTTGGACCAGTGGATACGGACATTCGGACTTTTTCCTAATCGGTACGAATTATGATCGTCGGACTCTGAGCTTGCATGTGTGCCGTGGGGTATAACTTTGTCGGACATTATTTCCAAGCCAGCATATGAAAAGTTGCTGCCGTGGGTCTGGTCGGTGATGACTTAAGTTCACATCAAGTCTAATCAACTCCTGTGTCTGGTCGGTGATGACTTAAGTTCACATCAAGTCTAATCAACTCCTGTGTCTGGTCGGTGATGACCTAAGTTCACAGCAAGTCTAATCAACTCCTGTGTCTGGTCGGTGATGACCTAAGTTCACATCAAGTCTAATCAACTCCTGTGTCTGGTCGGTGATGACCTAAGTTCACATCAAGCCTAATCAACTCCTGTGTCTGGTTGGTGATGACCAAGTTCACAGCAAATCTAATCAACTCCTGTGTCTGGTCGGTGATGACCTAAGTTCACATCAAGTCTAATCAACTATTGTGTCTGGTCGGTGATGACCTAAGTTCACAGCAAGTCTAATCAACTCCTGTGTCTGGTCGGTGATGACCTAAGTTCACAGCAAGTCTAATCAACTCCTGGGTCTGGTCGGTGATGACCAAGTTCACAGCAAGTCTAATCAACTCCTGGGTCTATTCATTTCAACTGCAGCAGTGGATTAAGTTAGCCAAGGGAAAGTGAACAGTCTGTGAGGAAACAAACACTTACCTGAGATGTTGGCCACCTCCTGCCCAGTCTTGATGTTATACACATGTATTGTCCCTTCTGCTGTTGTTGCATAAAGAATGTGAGGTTCTTTGGGGTGGAAGTGCAGGGACATGACAGCAAAACCTCCCAGTCTACAAGATCGAAGTTCACTCGAAAACTTCCCCGATTTTGCATCATAAATCTGTCAGTAGAACCCTTTTGGTAAGTCACCATGGTAACATGTCTCATAAACATACTGTACATGTGTAGTTAGGTCTGTGTATCCAATAGCAAAGGTGGCTGGAGGCCTGGGGAACTATGAACCTATGAACTGTAATGACTGAATGGTTGAGAGGGCTGTATGTGAGTGCTTTCTTGCAGACGTGTGCATGCGCGTGTGTGTGAAGGGGTAGGAAACAAATGTTGAAGAATGAATGCCAGGCATTTACGTTCATCACTATCAAGGTTCCAGTATGGTTTTGATTAAATGATGACTACCATGTGGTAAAGTTCTTAACTCCTTCAGTTAATCATTTTGACTTCAAAGGACATTGGCAAAAGCACGCAAGCCCCTGATGCGTGTGTCTCTTCTACTGGTAATCTCTTAATGCCATCACTCCATATTTTGCGAGGTCTTCCATTCGCTTCATACCTGTTGTAACGTTTCAGTGTGGCTTGCTGTGGTAAATAGTACCAGGGCATTCTTGTTAGGTGTCCAAACCACTTCATTTGTTATTCTTTGATGACCTCCACTAGCATATGCATGCATTAAAAGCATAAGGCAGCCATTAGAAGTGCTTACACAAGCAGTCCGATATTAGAAATGCAGTTCGTCATTGAGAAAAGCAGCAGTAGCAAACAGATCAGCAGTTGCACACTTTATCAATTTCAATGACACAAGGTTCCACTAATTCTGTGGTAACAGGTCAGGCACCATTGTTTACAACAACCTACTGGTCACAGCTGACAAACCATTCCAAGTCAAATCCCAAGCTCATATGTATGAGTGTGAATAGGATGTATGAATGTATATGTATGAGTATGTTTGTATATTTCTGCATGAACATTTATGTACAAGGATGTGTATAAGTGCATTTATGCACGTGTGTGTATGAATATCTGGGTATGTATAAGAATATACACATGGGTTTATATGTCAGTGTATGTATGCGTAAGAACATGTTTGTGTTTAGTATATATGTGCTGACTATGTGTTTTTGTGTATCTCTCTCTCTCTCTCTCTCTCTCTCTCTCTCTCTCTCTCTCTCTCTCTCTCTCTCTCTCTCTCTCTCTCTCTCTCTCTCTCTGTGTTTATTTACCAGCCATGCCTTTGTGTATATTGTAATATGAACGTAACACACTGTATTGATAAAATACAACTACGGTCTGAAAGATGAGTGTTTGGAAGGGCCGATTGAAAGGCAGGTCTGCGTGCCCAATCTGTGACCCCCAGGTTATAAAATGTGTTTGTTCATTCATCATAAGAGTGAAATCAAGACAATGTTTGGTATCTTAAAAATCTAGTCACCTCCTGCAATCATCAGTTCTTTGCACGGATTCCTAGACTAACTACAACAATATCATCTCTCTCAGAACTAGCCAGCATGAATAAATAGCCAAATAGCTTTCAGATACGACTGTTCATTCAACACCAACTATGAGCCTGCTGGCTGCCTTGTCTAGGAATACCTCAGAGACGCCACACGACAGTATACCCACTGACTGCCTTGTCTATACAGACATCACACAACAGTATACCCACTGACTGCCTTGTCTATAGAGAAATCACACAACAGTATACTCACTGACTGCCTTGTCTTTGGAGACATCACATGACAGTATACTCACTGACTGCCTTGTCTATACAGACATCACACGACAGTATACTCACTGACTGCCTTGTCTATGGAGACATCACACGACAGTATACTCACTGACTGCCTTGTCTATAGAGACATCACACAACAGTATACTCACTGACTGCCTTGTCTATGGAGACATCACACAACAGTATACTCACTGACTGCCTTGTCTTTGGAGACATCACACAACAGTATACTCACTGACTGCCTTGTCTTTGGAGACATCACATGACAGTATACTCACTGACTGCCTTGTCTATACAGACATCACACGACAGTATACTCACTGACTGCTTGTCTATGGAGACATCACACAACAGTATACTCACTGACTGCCTTGTCTATAGAGACATCACACGACAGTATACTCACTGACTGCTTGTCTATGGAGACATCACACAACAGTATACTCACTGACTGCCTTGTCTATAGAGACATCACATGACAGTATACTCACTGACTGCCTTGTCTATACAGACATCACACGACAGTATACTCACTGACTGCTTGTCTATGGAGACATCACACAACAGTATACTCACTGACTGCCTTGTCTATAGAGACATCACACAACAGTATACTCACTGACTGCCTTGTCTATGGAGACATCACACAACAGTATACTCACTGACTGCCTTGTCTATGGAGACATCACACAACAGTATACTCACTGACTGCCTTGTCTATGGAGACATCACACAACAGTATACTCACTGACTGCCTTGTCTATGGAGACATCACACAACAGTATACTCATTGACTGGCTTGTCTGGAGACATCACACAAAAGTATACCCACTGACTGCCTTGTCTATAGAGACATCACACAACAGTATACCCACTGACTGCCTTGTCTAGGGAGGACACATAGACATCACACAACAGTATACCCACTGACTGCCAAGTCTATGAAGCCCACACAGACATCACACAACAGTATACCCACTGACTGTCAAGTCTATGAAGCCCATACAGATATCACACAACAGTATATCCACTGACTGCCAAGTCTAGGAAGCCCACACAGATATCACACAACAGTATATCCACTGACTGCCAAGTCTATGAAGCCCACACATATATCACACAACAGTATACCCACTGACTGCCTTGTCTATAAAGCCCACACAGACATTCACACAACTCACCTGAATACCTCCACTCCCTAATCCCACAGCCAAGAGTTCTCCTGTATAGTTAAACTGCAAGCAGAAGACTCCCATAGAAGTTTTATGTAGATGAATCTCATAGACCACCTTGACTGCACTGGCAACTGTCAATGGTGTCTGTACTGGAGGATATAATATAGAAGTTTTATGTAGATGAATCTCATAGACCACCTTGACTGCACTGGCAACTGTCAATGGTGTCTGTACTGGAAGATATAATATAGAAGTTTTATGTAGATGAATCTCATGGACAACCTTGACTGCACTGGCAACTGTCAATGGTGTCTCTACTGGAGGATATAATATAGAAGCTAGACAATCTCTCTGGACAAACTAAGCATAGACATGGTCAATTAGCTTCTAAACATATCGGTTACATTCACCTCCCAAGTACGTCAAACATGTCAGTAACACGCATTTCGCAACTACGTCAGTCATAAACATTTGGCTTCTAAAAATATTGGTTGCATACATTTCCCAACTACGTCAGTCATAAACATTTAGCTTCTAAAAATATTGGTTGCATACATTTCCCAACTATGTCAGTTATAAACATTTAGCTTCTAAAAATATTGGTTGCATACATTTCCCAACTACATCAGTCATAAACATTTAGCTTCTAAAAATATTGGTTGCATACATTTATGATGACTCCACAAATGTTCTTGTGTAATTATCAGTGACAATATAACATTTATGATGACTCCACAAATGTTCTTGTGTAATTATCAGTGACAATGTAACATTTATAACGACTCCACAAATGTTCTTGTGTAATTATCAGTGGATTTGTAACATTTATGATGACTTCACAAATGTTCTTGTGTAATTATCAGTGACAATATAGCATTTATGTGACTCTACTGACGTCCATGTTTATCAGAGATAAGACACCCTGTACAGTAATTCTGCTGAATGTTTCAGCCATTTATTGTCTTCATATGAAGTGATGATCATGAGAGCAGCATACTTTCTACTCACCTATTCCAGCTTTGGCCAGCAAGTCAGCCTCAAGAGCTCTCCTAGCCATGGTGCAAGGTGTCCACAAACAGGCGACTCTAGCTGAAGCTATCTGCAGTGCGTCTACTGGATGACTGCATCAGATCAATGACTAGCACTTTCACAATGCTCTACCTCTTCCATCCATGTGTGTCCTACAATATTTCAATATACACTTTGTTAACCATTTCTCTCCCATCCATGTGTGTCCTACAATATTTCAATATACACTTTGTTAACCATTTCTCTCCCATCCATGTGTGTCCTACAATATTTCAATATACACTTTGTTAACCATTTCTCTCCCATCCATGTGTGTCCTACAATATTTCAATATACACTTTGTTAACCATTTCTCTCCCATCCATGTGTGTCCTACAATATTTCAATATACACTTTGTTAACCATTTCTCTCCCATCCATGTGTGTCCTACAATATTTCAATATACACTTTGTTAACCATTTCTCTCCCATCCATGTGTGTCCTACAATATTTCAATATACACTTTGTTAACCATTTCTCTCCCATCCATGTGTGTCCTACAATATTTCAATATAGACTTTGTTAACCATTTCTCTCCCATCCATGTGTGTCCTACAATATTTCAATATACACTTTGTTAACCATTTCTCTCCCATCCATGTGTGTCCTACAATATTTCAATATACACTTTGTTAACCATTTCTCTCCCATCCATGTGTGTCCTACAATATTTCAATATACACTTTGTTAACCATTTCTCTTCCATCTGGTTCCTTGTTCAGATCACTCTGCAAATGTTTTCTGACATGATGCAGTGCCAGGGGAAGCCGACATGGTGCAATGACAAGAGAAGCTGACATGGTGCAATGACAAGAGAAGCTGACATGGTGCAATGACAAGAGAAGCTGACATGGTGCAATGACAAGAGAAGCTGACATGGTGCAATGACAAGAGAAGCTGACATGGTGCAATGACAAGAGAAGCTGACATGGTGCAATGACAAGATAAGCTGACATGGTGCAGTGACAGGGGAAGGTGACATGGTGCAATGACAAGAGAAGCTGACATGGTGCAATGATAAGAGAAGCTGACATGGTGCAATGACAAGAGAAGCTGACATGGTGCAGTGACAAGAGAAGCTGACATGGTGCAATGACAAGAGAAGCTGACATGGTGCAATGACAAGAGAAGCTGACATGGTGCAATGACAAGAGAAGCTGACATGGTGCAATGACAAGAGAAGCTGACATGGTGCAATGACAAGAGAAGCTGACATGGTGCAATGACAAGAGAAGCTGACATGGTGCAATGACAAGAGAAGCTGACATGGTGCAATGACAAGAGAAGCTGACATGGTGCAATGCAATGACAAGAGACAAGCTGACATGGTGCAATGACAAGAGAAGCTGACATGGTGCAATGACAAGAGAAGCTGACATGACATGGTGCATGGTGCAATGACAAGAGAAGCTGACATGGTGCAATGACAAGAGAAGCTGACATGGTGCAATGACAAGAGAAGCTGACATGGTGCAATGACAAGAGAAGCTGACATGGTGCAATGACAAGAGAAGCTGACATGGTGCAATGACAAGAGAAGCTGACATGGTGCAGTGACAAGAGAAGCTGACATGGTGCAATGACAAGAGAAGCTGACATGGTGCAGTGACAAGAGAAGCTGACATGGTGCAGTGACAAGAGAAGCTGACATGGTGCAATGACAAGAGAAGCTGACATGGTGCAATGACAAGAGAAGCTGACATGGTGCAATGACAAGAGAAGCTGACATGGTGCAATGACAAGAGAAGCTGACATGGTGCAATGACAAGAGAAGCTGACATGGTGCAGTGACAAGAGAAGCTGACATGGTGCAATGACAAGAGAAGCTGACATGGTGCAATGACAAGAGAAGCTGACATGGTGCAATGACAAGAGAAGCTGCTGGTGCAATGACAAGAGAAGCTGACATGGTGTGACATGGTGCAGATGACAAGAGAAGCTGACATGGTGCATGACAAGAGAAGCTGACATGGTGCAATGACAAGAGAAGCTGACATGGTGCAATGACAAGAGAAGCTGACATGGTGCAATGACAAGAGAAGCTGACATGGTGCAATGACAAGAGAAGCTGACATGGTGCAATGACAAGAGAAGCTGACATGGTGCAATGACAAGAGAAGCTGACATGGTGCAATGACAAGAGAAGCTGACATGGTGCAATGACAAGAGAAGCTGACATGGTGCAATGACAAGAGAAGCTGACATGGTGCAGTGACAAGAGAAGCTGACATGGTGCAATGACAAGAGAAGCTGACATGGTGCAATGACAAGAGAAGCTGACATGGTGCAATGACAAGAGAAGCTGACATGGTGCAATGACAAGAGAAGCTGACATGGTGCAATGACAAGAGAAGCTGACATGGTGCAATGACAAGAGAAGCTGACATGGTGCAATGACAAGAGAAGCTGACATGGTGCAATGACAAGAGAAGCTGACATGGTGCAATGACAAGAGAAGCTGACATGGTGCAATGACAAGAGAAGCTGACATGGTGCAATGACAAGAGAAGCTGACATGGTGCAATGACAAGAGAAGCTGACATGGTGCAATGACAAGAGAAGCTGACATGGTGCAATGACAAGAGAAGCTGACATGGTGCAATGACAAGAGAAGCTGACATGGTGCAGTGACAAGAGAAGCTGACATGGTGCAATGACAAGAGAAGCTGACATGGTGCAATGACAAGAGAAGCTGACATGGTGCAATGACAAGAGAAGCTGACATGGTGCTGACAAGAGAACTGACATGGTGCAGTGACAAGAGAAGCTGACATGGTGCAATGACAAGAGAAGCTGACATGGTGCAATGACAAGAGAAGCTGACATGGTGCAATGACAAGAGAAGCTGACATGGTGCAATGACAAGAGAAGCTGACATGGTGCAATGACAAGAGAAGCTGACATGGTGCAATGACAAGAGAAGCTGACATGGTGCAATGACAAGAGAAGCTGACATGGTGCAATGACAAGAGAAGCTGACATGGTGCAATGACAAGAGAAGCTGACATGGTGCAATGACAAGAGAAGCTGACATGGTGCAATGACAAGAGAAGCTGACATGGTGCAATGACAAGAGAAGCTGACATGGTGTGACAATGACAAGAAGCTGACATGGTGCAATGACAAGAGAAGCTGACATGGTGCAATGCAATGACAAGAGAAGCTGACATGGTGCAATGACAAGAGAAGCTGACATGGTGCAATGACAAGAGAAGCTGACATGGTGCAATGACAAGAGAAGCTGACATGGTGCAATGACAAGAGAAGCTGACATGGTGACAATGACAAGAGAAGCTGACATGGTGCAATGACAAGAGAAGCTGACATGGTGCAATGACAAGAGAAGCTGACATGGTGCAGTGACAAGAGAAGCTGACATGGTGCAGTGACAAGAGAAGCTGACATGGTGCAAAGACAAGAGAAGCTGACATGGTGCAATGACAAGAGAAGTTGACATGGTGCAATGACAAGAGAAGCTGACATGGTGCAGTGACAAGAGAAGCTGACATGGTGCAGTGACAAGAGAAGCTGACATGGTGCAATGACAAGAGAAGCTGACATGGTGCAATGACAAGAGAAGCTGACATGGTGCAATGACAAGAGAAGCTGACATGGTGCAATGACAAGAGAAGCTGACATGGTGCAGTGACAAGAGAAGAAGACATGGTGCAATGACAAGAGAAGCTGACATGGTGCAATGACAAGAGAAGCTGACATGGTGCAATGACAAGAGAAGCTGACATGGTGCAATGATAAGAGAAGCTGACATGGTGCAATGACAAGAGAAGCTGACATGGTGCAATGACAAGAGAAGCTGACATGGTGCAATGACAAGAGAAGCTGACATGGTGCAATGACAAGAGAAGCTGACAAGGTGCAATGACAAGAGAAGCTGACATGGTGCAATAACAAGATAAGCTGACATGGTGCAATGACAAGAGAAGCTGACATGGTGCAGTGACAAGAGAAGCTGACATGGTGCAGTGACAAGAACAGCTGACATGGTGCAGTGACAAGAGAAGCTGACATGGTGCAGTGACAAGAGAAGCTGACATTGTGCAAAGACAAGAGAAGCTGACATAGTGCAGTGATAAGAGAAGCTGACATGGTGCAATGACAAGAGAAGCTGACATGGTACAGTGACAAGAGAAGCTGACATGGTGCAATGACAAGAGAAGCTGACATGGTGCAATGACAAGAGAAGCTGACATGGTGCAGTGACAAGAGAAGCTGACATTGTGCAAAGACAAGAGAAGCTGACATGGTGCAGTGATAAGAGAAGCTGACATGGTGCAATGACAAGAGAAGCTGACATTATACAGTGACAAGAGAAGCTGACATGGTGCAGTGACAAGAACAGCTGACATGGTGCAGTGACAAGAGAAGCTGACATGGTGCAGTGACAAGAGAAGCTGACATGGTGCAATGACAAGAGAAGCTGACATGGTGCAATGACAAGAGAAGCTGACATGGTACAGTACCATGGGAAGCTGTCATGATGTAGTGGCTAGCAAGCTTGTCTGCTAACCAGGTGCTCATTGGTTTGAATCTATAACGAGGCAGATTGTTGACAACTGACCAAGGCTTCCAGATCCACTCAGCCTCATCCTGGTTCCAGGACATGCTGACCGCAACATCCACTGACTGACTTCGTCCTTACATGGGTATGAGGCTAGTATCATATCATATGTCCCACCTGCCCCAAAGAACAAAAAGGCCTTAGACCAGGATGCTGTCCACCTCCAGGTATTCCTGAACTTGTTACACCCATTGTGTGGTTGTAAATTAAGCATTCGTGTGTAACTTGAAACATAATCGTACACAAAATCGCATATCATTTCTTTAACCCTGTAAATGAAATAACACATCACATATATGACTTATATGGCCATTCCTTGTCTGTAATAGACTGGGTGTATCCAGTCCGTCTGGAAGAGGCGGTTAACAGGCAGTAATGTAATCAGTAAATGATATTGTTTGGTACCCGT